GTGTAAGCAGGCTCAAGGGGTGTAGCTTCAACAGGAGGACAGGAAGTGCCTCTGATTCCGTAACTAGCTCGCTCTCTGGGAAGATAGGATATGGGGGTTTGGATCCCCTCTAGGCTGAGAACATCACAGAACCCCAGAATCCTCTTTCAACAGAAAGTGCTCCAACTGCTGGCGTGCTACTTATAAAAAGGGCATCCATCTTTTTGTTGTTTTGGGTGGAAAAATTTGTCTGGATGTACCTCTTGGTGCACAACTCAGTTGCTGTTGGATATTGTTAGTGGTGATCTGAGAAGACCTATGGGACCAAGGCACAGCAGATGTGTTGATGCAAGATTTTCAGATACGACTGGTGTACTCCAGAGACGTCAAGCACAGTGACGTGCTGCTAATTTGGAGAACTCAGAACAGCTTGGTTTGGCATGCCAGATTTCATCTCCAGTTTACCTACAGTCAGATAAAAGCATGATACTGTACACTCAACTTCACTCAATCTTTTTCCATAATGCCTGCAGCCATTTTTTGTTTGGTTTTATATTCTAAGGTCAAATTTTTTTTACTCTCTTAGTTTTTTTGTACCATTCCTTTTTTTTTTTTTTTGCTAGTTGCACTAGGCACATGAACTTTGAGCCCTTCTATATCAGTTGAAATAGCTTTGTAAAGTCACTAGTGATTGCAGATCTGATTTCAAGCATTGGTATAGTTATACTGATATGCCCAAGGGCTACACGATCCTATAATAAAACCTCTGTGATTTTAATGTGCTATCAGATACCACCTTTAACAGTCTGAATTGTTTATAGCAACTGCACTTTTCTGGCAACAGTGTGTCACTAGATAGATGTTCCTGCTACTGTAGTAGCAGTATAGCATTAGTTGTGTCATGTTGTTCCCAAAGACTTGACACTTGGCAAGGACAGTCAAGTAGCTTGTCTAAGTATCTAGTTTCTTGGCAGTGGTGCCCTCTTATGAACTGCCTAATCCCTCTTGGCATAACACTTGAAGAGCTGTTTGTTTACAAGCTGTTGCCAGATGTGAGTATCATTGGATGAGAGACCAGGTGTGATTGTCACACGTCCCCTTGCTTGTGGTGCAGACCTGTAGTGATGCTTCTCCAGAGTCTGGATTAGTCTTCAGAAATGTTGTCTGTGCCCAAGGAGATGTTCAGAGCCTGCTTGGTCCAAATTAGTGAATATCACAAAGATGTTTGTTTTGTGAGTTTCTTGTGGCAATGTGATATGGTTGGGCAAGCCGGGAGTCTGATGGGTGCTGACATTCTCTGGGCAAGATCCTTTGCGTGTGGAAGTCTTTTGTATGAGTTTCTTACTCAGTGACTTTTTATGTTGGTAGATCTGCAGAGAACAGAATAATGATGCATAAAGTCTACATATTTTTGATCTTCATGGTACTGATTCTGCCCTCCCTTGGTCTTACCAGGTAAAGAATCACAGTTTATCGGAGTAATGTTTTTATCATATGAGACAACTTCTGTTCTCTAGTTGCTAGTTGAAGTACCCCCACTCCCTGCAGTGTGTATGATTATGTTGTTGTTATGCATTAGTTTTCAATGTTCATTTTTCATCTGATGACTCATAGCCCTTAAAGTTTCCAAAGGCTGACTTTTGGCAAAGAAATTAAAGACCTTGTAAGATCAATGACTAATTGAGAGGTGCCCATATGCACCATCATAGCTCAGAACCCAGTTTCCTGACTATGTCTTATACTTCAGTTATAGTTGTCCTTTTCTTTCCACCTTCACAGTATTTTACTATTTCCCTGGCTAACCAGGTAACATGTATTTGTTCTATCTATATAATAACTGCTAAAAATGAATCATTAAAACTTTAGGATGAAGTAGATGGTTTCGTTTTGTTTCATTCTGTGTCTTTTTTCTTATTTCTGACTATCAGTAACTGTGATAAAGCTAAACTAGTCTTCAGATTATTTGGTTAAATTCTCTCTATCCATGATCCTGATCTGAGCTACTTTAAAAGAGAAGCAATTTTGCACAGTACTAAGCTGTTGGAGACTGAATTACATTAACTGTCTTTCTTGCAGCCTTGATTTTTTTTTCCGTTGGCTGTTTGACAGAGAATCGTCCGATTCTGCAGTTAGGCTGGAGTAAGTATGAGCAACTCTTTGCTAAAGGAATACTTAGGACTCTTTTTTTTTTTTTCTTTTTTCTGTTCACTAGCCTTGGTTAGTGTTTATTAAAATTTACTTGGGGATGGTATCCAGTGGGATGATGTTGAGCTTCTGAATAAGGGGAGGAGAATGCAAGTGATTTTGCTGTGAAGAAATCCATACTTTTTTCCTGCTAGCTAATGCATGCAAACATTCAATAGAGAGACAGTTATTTTCCCAAAGCCTTACAAGTTTTGTAGAAGACAAGAAAGGACAGGATGATATGATACAGGTGAGAGGGGACCAGAAAATGTACTGAGGATTGTTGCGTATCATGGACAGGGTATCTTACCAAGGATTATAATGAGACCAAATGGCTGCAGCAGTTCTCTTTCTGAAATCCATTGACTCTTGATTTTAAGAAACATGAACACTTTTATACCAGCATTACAGATGTTGGTTATTACAAGCTCTTGTGACTGTGGCTGGAGGGAAAGAATAGAAATGCAATTATTAGGACATAGTTAGGTTTCTAAATGCTGTGTCAAAATCAGTAACAAGACAACTAGGAGTTACTAAGCTAGGAGAAACACTTATCTGTTCCAGTCTTATCTCATCTTGTCTCGGGTTGCTGTTGCAAACATGAAATGATGCTCTTGTCTGCTATCAGCCACCCTCAGACTGCTGTATCTTTTTGTGAACAGTTTATTCCTTGTCTAAACAGCAAATTAGCCAAGCTCTTAGAGTATGCTACACTTATTGCATTTATAGCTATCTAGTACTCTTTTTCAACAAGATTATCGGAAGTCCTCTAGCCACTTCTTATGGTGTCCAGTGGTTATCCTTATGGTAAGAGATTTCCAGAGGTGATATGGATCCATTGTATATATGCTATATTTGCTTGTCTGCTTTCCAGTCAGTGTCTGATGTCTTTCCTTGCAGGTGTGTCTTTTTGCCTGACCAGGGAGCCTTCTTTGTCAACTACGTGATTGCCTCTGCTTTCATTGGCAATGGGATGGAGCTGCTGCGCCTCCCTGGCCTCATCCTTTACACCATACGCATGATAATGGCCAAGTCCACAGCAGAAAGGAAAAATATTAAACAGGTATTACAGCCTCTCCTTAGCAAGAGGCAATTAAATGACTGATCCTTGTCAGAAACAGTGGGAGCTCCCACCCTTAGTACCATCAACTAGCATCTCCTGTCACTTTCTTTTGGCCTTTGTTTCACTTATCCATCATAGGTTCATATTCCCTTCATTTGCAGCACAGATAATGGGGAGGTATTTATTCAAGTCAGAGATGGTCAAAAATCAAAATCCAAGCTCTGAACTTCAGGTATTCTTTTCATAGCTCCAAGTCAAGAGTGTGATGATTTAGACTTTATAGGATAATTCTGAATTTGTCGTACAGTCTAAACTTCAGGGTTTTTTTAAATTCAAATCTGTCTACAGTTAGTTTCTTCTGTCAGCCCACAGATGTGTACGACTTACTTTGATCTGAATATACACCTAGCAAAATATATACTTACGGCCTATATTCCATTTTAAGTGGTGGACTTTCACTTCCAGATGATGTGTCATGTTGCAGCTTGAAATTCCAGGTGTTAAAATGGGAACTTAAGCCTGTATACAGCTGCCCCTGTTCTTCTCTTTCTTCTTTCTTTTTTTTTTTTCCCTTCTTTTTCTATGGGTGGGTGAGTTCCATTTTTAAGATTCTTTTAAACATTCGCTTCTGTTAAATGTTGCATATAACTCCTTGCTGTGGTTGAAATTATTTGTATTGATTTCCTCATCCCAAGAGGAAGAAGTGGGAATACTGACCACACCAAAACTTAATTTTGAGCTTTCAAAAAGCCAGCACAAGGAACAGTACAGATTCAACGGAATCTGCAGTGAGATGAAGGTTCTGAGTTTGGCACAATTCTTTTCTGCCTTGTGGTTTTAAGTAGTTGCTTCTTGTAGATGAAAACAGATTCCGTGAGGAATTACTTCAAGGCTGTGAAAGAAGCAGCATGTTTTCTCTAAGTACAGATGCTTAAAATGCATACTACTTCATCTCTCTAATTACATCATTTATGCCTCTAAGGGAAATAAGTGATCTCTCAAAGGGAGAGAATGAGAGAAGGTGAATTGTTGCTTTAGTGAATCTATTCTTAACTCTGACACATTGATAGATAGTTTTGGGTGCTTTGTTTTTTGTATCAATGTGTCAGAGTTAAGATAGTTTTGGGTGCTTTGTTTTTTGTTCCTAGCAACAAGCATTTGAATATGAATTTGGAGCAATGTACGCCTGGATGTTGTGTGTGTTCACTGTCATCATGGCCTATAGCATTACATGTCCCATCATTGTCCCATTTGGTAAGTTTCCCGATGAGGTGTGGGCACTGTGTGAGTGAGATGGGGTCATGTGGGAGGTTCAGAGCGCCCAGTTCTGCATTCTTATTCCAGTTCAAATGCTAATAATCCGTAGGACTTGGATCCAAGTTTCCTTCCCTTCCTGTGGAAAAACAGGGCAGAAGATGGCGATGGTCTCTTACTGCCGTTAAGTTGAAATTATATTTAGTGTCTATTAGATGCTTATTTTATGTCTCAAGTTTGAGTGTATTAGCTCTGGTGGTGGTTTTTATAGTTAAGCATAGGAGTTTAGGGTGGGTTTGGAGATGAGGGGATTGTTTTTATCTCTGTGTTCTTGAGGTCTGGCAGAAGCAAGCTGCAGAGGGTACCCAGCCTGGAGGTCCACCTGAAGCAGCCAAACTTGACTTGAGACTTTGTGATCCCCAAATCCTTTAGGCACATTTGGAATAACTTTTGTTCTAAAGTTTGACTGATGTATATGAAAAGAAGTACAAATATAAGTGGCTTGATCCAGTATCAAGAGACTGGAAAACTACCTGTGTTTTCACTACTGCATCTCTTCTGCATCTCAAACCATTTATCTAAAATTCCACATCCTGAATGAGAATGAGAGAAGGGGTTGTGGTCATCAGTGTGCCATCGACAGCTCTATGCTGCATGGTCCTGACCCCGGGGATGTGACCTTACAATGTGCTGGTTGCTTTGCTGGGACGTGGTCTTGGTGAACACCGTAGCTGCCCTTTGACCAGAAAAGGAAATGCTGTATTCTCGGATAGGTTTGCTGGCTTAGAAAACCAGTTGAGCAGGAAATCGGGGCATGTGGGTGGAGCACAGCTGTCCTGTGGTGTAGATGGAGCTGTAGTCCTACAGGACCCTGAGAAGGTCTCAAGATCTCTGAGTTACAGACCTCCTTTTTCTAGGATGTTTCTCCTGTTTGGTTGGTTTATCTCTGTCCCATAATCAAAACATCTCTGCATTAAGTTGCCTATGTATCTAGCTTTGACTTGTTTTCTTCGTCTTGTACCAGCCATTAAATCCTGTATGGGTGTGCAAAAAATTAACAATCTGTCTAGAACTCATGGACAGTTGTCCATCTTTAGTGACTGTGACATGATCTATGTCTTATTTTATTGCATCTTTCGTTCACAGAGATTCTGGACTCTCATAAGAATTATGTATAAAGAATCATTTCAGCAGCTACAGATATTTCCACTCTGGAAACCTGTTTATCAGGCATAAGTAGTGCTAAATCATTTTATGTAGTTGGTATTTTCCTTTTCTAATGCAAAATTTTAGAGAGCTAGATACAATGTAATTAGCTAAATTTAAATATTGTTTGTAACTGGTGTTAATCAACAACTTTATTATTGGGAGAATGTAGCCATTTTTTTTGGTAACAATGTACTTGATATTTGTTTACATTTCATTTTGCGTGCAGTTGTAAATATCTGAATGTGCTACTGCATACCAGAGCTGTTGCAACTCATAGCTGTCACAGCAGGAACTGGCTTTTTTGGGGGGATAAGAAATAGCTGACTTGAAATTCAGTCATGAATCTGTTGAAGGCCGAGAGGGAGACGTTAAGCTGCTGTTAGACCTTTCTTCTTTACCAGTACAGTGGTGGAGGAGTTACCACATCTTCCCTACTGGCTCAGCCTCACGTGCCAGCACTAGGAAGGAGCTCTGGGTTTTCTCTGGGAGCGCGAGTGGTGCCACAGAGAAGCGTGTGGAGAGGGGGAGGGATGGGGAGACCCCAGGGTCTTGGGCTGGGGGTGCAGCAACCATAGGAGCAGGCTGCTGTCATGCAGCTGTACCCCATCCATATTTGGGCTGTATCCACCGTTGGTATCTAGATTTTCAGTCGTTTGATTGCTGTAGATCTGCTCACAGAATTGCTGCTTTTTATCAGTGTTTCACCAACCTCTCCCTTTTTGCCTTCCAGGTTTAATATACATACTCCTGAAACACATGGTTGACCGTTATAACCTTTACTATGCATATCTGCCTGCCAAGCTGGAGAAGAAGATGCACTTTGCCGCTGTGAATCAGGCCCTTGCAGCTCCAATTCTCTGCCTTTTCTGGCTCTATTTTTTCTCATTTTTGCGGCTAGGTGAGTATTACCTTTTTCCACCTAGAAGCTGCTTCTACCTCTCTTGCCAGCTTACCTAAATTACGTGTGAAGTTTCATAGGTTTTGTGGGCTTTTCTTTTTGCTTCCGTAAATGGGAAGTCATTGTGGTTACCTGTGGCACTGAATTACACAACATTTGCAGCTTACAGAAGTTTGCGTAAGGTGGTCTGATGGAGATGGCTGATATGTTAACTTAAAACTGTTAGCATGGAGCTTCATATTTCTTCATTTTACAGGAGATCATGTGTTCCTAAATCTGTAGAGTTTGAATTGGCCAGTTGGGCTGTGAAGTGACAGACAGTAAAAAACATTAATTAAAACAAAAATGTATTCAGAATTAGCTCTTTTGAATAAGATGGTCTCTGGCGTCACTACCTGCATTTGTGTAGTCTGTGCATAAGTTTAATGTGCCTGTGTGAATTGGCTATTTCCTCTGTTGTACAGCTGTCATTTAGAAAAAGCTGCTAAAATGTTGGCTAATGCTACTAAGGCCTGTGTTCTACATCATCCGTCAAACTTTGCATGGAAGACTGCAGTGAGATGGTGACTCTCTTTCCCCATATTGTAATTTAAAACCTCATGTTTTGTGTGTATTTTAAAAATAGGGATGTTCTGTATTTTGTAAATAGTTGGCATTGATAGTATTGGCTGTGGTGTACTAACAGCTTTGACATGAGAACAGGTAGGCGATAGCTTATGGCTTTTATCTGTGATACAGGAGGAAGCATTTGGCATGGAACAGGGATGATGCTGGAAGGAGTTGAGCTTCCCTTCTTGGGAAGTAGGCCCTTGGCATCTATCTGTATTTTGCCCTCTTCTCCGCTTTCACAGCGCTGATGACAAATGGCCATGATTGTATTGTATTTTTCTAGCATACCAGTAGTAAAAAATATATTGTTGGCAGACTGTCATCTAACTTTAGAGATAGCTCCCTGTGGTTGTAATAGGCACTGGGAACTATTGCTGCAGGCTGTCCTTGGATTTGAGCAGATGTCCCTGCGTTACCTGTATGTTTGAGAGCTTGTTTTTTCCCTTGTTTTGAGAGCTGTCTTTGCAACAAGGAAGACCAACAAATCCATCCTCCAAAATAACAGCAGAATTTCTAGACCATGCTTTAGAAGCATCAACTCCAAACATGCAGCAATTGATATGCCTCTTTAATTGTTATGAAGGAAATCCTGGTGTGGTAAAAAATAAATCTTTATAATAATGTTTTCTGGTTTTGCATCTGTGGTAAAACCATCATTTTGTCATGGAGCTTAGTAATGGGAAACACAGACCAGGTTACCATGTTTGGCTTGGTCAGTATAGAGGATCCTGTTTACAGGATGTTTTCAATGTGCAGGGCAGTCTAGCCAAGTGGTATGAGTCTGAGAGGTAGGAACTTGAGATTTTGATTTCATTGCCATAGATTTCATTGCTGCTTCTCATGCAAAAGAGAAGGAAGGAGGGGGAAGAGTGTTCTGCTTCCTTATCTGCAAAATAAATCAGTTTGTGTAAAGCTTGATTGCTTAGTCATTAATTTGTATAGTTTGCCTGGTGTGGATATTTCAGTCTGGTTGCAGATTCAGTGATAATACTGTTTCCTCACTCATTATATTAAGGCTGGAAGGACTTCTATCCCAGTTCTCAGTCAGGATCAAGTATCGCTTGACTGCATGCAGAAGGTGATAGGCTGTACTCATGTCATCTATGTCCTTCTCAGTCCCTGTTTTCTTCCTCAGCTCTCATGCCATCCATCCATCCTACACCAAAAGCATCCCTGGGCCTCTCACAACAGAGGAGGCAATGGTTCTATCTGCAGTTCAACCCGTCTCCTGGGATAGTCACTTAAGTCCCGTGTTCTCTAGAGCTGTTGGCTGGGAGGACTGCTGAGGACACAGGGCAGGGAAAACTGATCTTTGGAGATTTCTTCTTCCCTGGTCTCTGCTGTTTGCCTTGCGGTTCACACCATGCATTGGCTTTGGTGTAGACATGCCTTGCCAGCTGGTAAATACTGACATAACCTGCGCTTATAAAAATAACCTCCTCTAAAGGGCATTCCAGAATACCCATAGGGAGGTTTTTTCACTTCCTTTTTTGTTTTGAACAGTGATGTGTTTGCGGGGAGTTTTTTTGGTTGTTTTTGTGGGGCGTGGGGGAGTGGTGTTTATTGTTTCTCCCCCCTCATGAACAGATCTGCACAGGGCTTATATAACCTGCTAAAAAGTAAAACTTATCTGTTCTTTGCCACTGCATATGCTGGGGTTGCCACGCAAATATTTGAGGGATGGTGTTGCCTCTTTAGTCAAAAGAAGCTTGGAAACAGCTCGTTTTTGGGTTTGGTTTATTTTTTTTTCCCCCTAATATCTTATTCAAGTCTTCTTTGCTGCAAAATGAGATTAATTTCTTCAGAATATTTCCCCAGTGGACCTGAAGAATAAGTCACTGTAATCATTATAACTTTTTTCATACTAGAGGCTGCTACCATGTCCTTTCCTATAGTTTTATCTTTTTCTCTCTCTCTTTCTGTCTCTGAAGAAAAACTTACCATTCAGCTTAGTTCATGTTTACTCAGTTCCTTCTTGTGTTCCTTTTTCTTGGATTCCTCCCAGTTTTGTCCATATTTTATTGTGGTGTCCTACACAGACAAGGCTGCTCAAGTTGAAGATTCAGTAGCGTCAAATTATTTTGTATAGGTTCCAGAGATACGCTTTTTTTTCCTTCCCACATTTTGTGATAGCATCACACTATTGACTACTTTCCAGCTTGTAATCATCAGTTGTATTCTGCAGTGCTACAGACTTGTTCTCCCTCATATCTACATTTAATTTTTCCTTCCAAAATGTTGTTATTTACAGTTTTCTACATACAATTTCATCTTGGTCTTTTTTTTTTTTTCCTTGAAAGGGGGTGGGGTCATCTAATCTATCAATCTAGGGTTTTTTTTTTCTATTTTTTTTTTCCTTGTTTGCAAGCCATCTAGTTTGGTGCCATCCTTGTATTTAATAAATGGACTCTATCTATTACTTTCATTAATGATCTGTGAAATGTATTTTAGAAGTGGGTCCAGAATAGATGACTGAGGGAGGAGGAGAAGAGTTGCTCTGAGTCGTGTTTGCCATTCAAGTATTGCAGCCGCCTTTCTTGGCCTTTAAGGAAGCTAGGGAAACAGCTCTCTCAGCAGTTTCACCAATCAACAAGCTTTGTGCATAATGAGGTTCTCCTGTTTGTTGCTGGAAGTGGTGTGCCCAGTCCTCTAAGGGAAAAAAAAACCAACACAAAAAACAACCAAGAAGCTTCTGAAAATGGGGAAGATAGTTTTGTTTGTTTGTTTTTACTGCTATGTATTTTTATATTGTATTCTCTGGATATTTTTCTAGGCTTTAAAGCACCTACAACCATGTTTACCTTCCTAGTTGTCAACATCACAATCGTTATTTGTTTGGCTTATACTTGTTTTGGCTGTTTCAAGTACCTGAGCCCACTGAATTATAAGGTAAGATGGATACCTAACACCTTTCAGCACCTACCTATGTGCTTGATGTAGCACCAGATGTTCCTGCTGGGTTGTTTGTGCCTTCTCGCTAGCAACATCTGTCCACAAAGGTTCATCCCAGTAAGATGGCTGAAGAGGGCTGATAGGAGAGGTCAGCTGCTTGGCACGGTGGAAGCCTGTCAGTGATAGCAGGAACTGAATTTGAGAGGAAAGAGTAGTGTGGAAGAAGTATGCAAGAGGATTGGAGGAGGGAGTACCAGCACTGCACAGAGATCCCTCTGGGCAGGTTTTTGGGTGCTTACAATCTCTATATATTGTTTTGGCTTACCAGATTGATATTGTCTCTCTTCCTTTCCCCACCTGTTACTGGTTACAGATAGAAGACACGCAAGGTGAAAGAGGAAGCGACACAGATGTGCCAACCATCCCAACATCTTCTGTAAGAAGTTAAGAGTTACTAATATTCTCTTACGTTTCCTAGAAAAACTTAATTTCACACCCTGCTTACCAAAGAGCTTGTGTAGGACATGTTAGTCTGAATGGACTGTGGGATTTCCCATATGTGTGTGGGACCAGAGAGTTCTGCAGCTGGGCTCCTTGACTGTTCCCAGGTGGTGTTCCAGAAGTACCTTCGGCTGACGTTGTAGGACTAGTTGAGACATGCTACTTCCAGCAGCTCTGTACGCTGTCTTCTGGGCCTTACACCAGACAGATCCTCACATCTGGACAGCTGCCAAATGCAGTCAGGTGCCACTGCTTTGTGACTTTGAAAGTTGTGACATGTGTAGCGGGTCTTACCTGCCATGTCACTAAACAGGATGTAGGACTGAGGTAGAAATAGAGGTCTTTGTGCCACAGCCTACAAGTGCAGGGGAACGTTGCACCGGGAAGCCTCCGTTAGGGTGCAAAAGGCCTTAGGTGTTAAGGTGAAGAATGGGAAACGGATGAAAAGAAGAGTGGCGAGGGGAAAAATTATCCTGGGTGAATTATCCCAACGTTACACTTTGAGAGACTAGTAAAATCCTTAACACTTGTGATTTCAGATGTACGTGCCCCGAGTTTTGCATCCCTATTCTACAGAAAGGACGATGCTTGCCCATAAGGAGCAGCAATCATATGGCACCATGGACAACACTAATTCACAGGCAGAAGAAATCATAAACTATTCTGCTGGACCTGCAATTATTGAGCAGGCATCGAAAGGTTCGCTTTGAATACTAAGGACTAACACAAGGTGGAGCACTTGGTCCAGGTTTAGGAGAACTAATTCCCCACCACCACCACCGCCTAAGTATTCTGTTTTATTTACGTATTCCTGCCTACAGAAGAGATACAGAAATAATTCAGTGTGTGGTCTGCAGCTGTGCTCGGAGATTAAAAAGCAGATGCCTTGGGACTGATTGTTTTCTAGGCTGTATACACACATTGTGAGACGAACATGTTGAACACAGAGATGCTGATCCTCAGGGACTTCACTTATGCTATCTCATCACTTGCCTTATGAATTTAACTTATGCTGCATTTTGATACCTGGTCACCAAAGTAAATGCAGCTATTACAGCTGTCATTTATTTATTCAAAGTAATTCTTGCTTTTTTAAAAAAAAACAATAATAATAATAATGAAAAACCCTTTAGTATTTATAAATCTCTTGGGATGTGTTAAATCCTGAGGCAATGTCACTTTTGATGAAAATGCTGTTTACATGGGTGCTGAGGATGGTGTGTGGGAGTCTCTCCTCTTGTCACCCAAAGTACTCAGTGTAGATTTGACCATGGTTACTTTTTTTCCTTAAAAGAGATGAGGGAGTTACTGTGCACTTGGGTACTAAAAGTACCAAAACAAAAATATGGGTGTAAAGAAGGGAGTGATTGATAGTTTTTAGATATTTTTGGAGGGCATTTAGGTTGTTAGTCTCTGTTCACTTTTTTTAAGGGCCTTCCACAATGAAAGTTCACCTGCCAACAATAACAGATGTAAACATTTTATCTTTCTTTTAATCTTGTGTCAAAATGACATATCTCTGGGTTTTCTCTATAGTGCCAGTTATGTGAGCTGTAAGATACCAAGTTTTTAAATTATGTAGTAGGTGCCAATTTATTCCGAAGTACATTGTGTCAAAGTGTAACTAATAATCACCAAGCAATAAAACACTGAGTTCAGAGAAATTTAAGGCTGTCTTGATTGATTTGTTTTTTTCTTTGCGTATTGAAACAGTTCTTTTGCTAGCTGCTTCGCAGCATGATCGGTGTCATGAACTCTTCATAAGAGCACTGTCAGGAGGCTTAGAATGACAGTATGTCCCATGAGAGATTTGAATACTTTTAAATTTCTCTAGGGGGTGAATCTTGGTGACCTTTGGGTGGGAGAAGGTTTTGGCCCTCCCAAGCCTTCTGTTTGCCTGCTCATCATTAAACTGTTAGTTCCTGAACTTGACCTTTTTCTAGCATGTCTGTGAAGCAGCAACATCTTGAGATTGGAGTAGAATTTGTGCCATAAGTAAGTGTGTGCAGATGTTCAGTGTCTTACAGGACTGGCTCCAGCTTCCCCAGACAGCGCTCTGGACGAATGCTGAGCAGGAGACCTGCCCTGCTGCAAGAAGGACCCTGCAGAGCTCTGATAACCCTGATGACCTGCCCATCCTCTTAGGTGAAGGTACGTGTAACTCCTGGTTCTTGAAAGGCAAGTGGGGAGCCTTGTCTCATGGGGGGCATGGATTTGTGTCAGGCTTCTTTATACTGTCACTTCAGTGTTGCAGTTTAGTCTGTGTGTGCAGTTTATGCTTGTGTGTGGTGGTGGGGGGAAATGTTTTGATTTTATCAATTGTGTTATTCCTAGAGGTGGAATGTACACAATATTGTGGGGTTTTTTTAGCGATTGTGGCATTTCTAGAGGTAATACAAACTCTGGATACAAACTGCCATTTAAGATTGGTATTCAAACCAAGAAAAAATAAAACTAACAGACTCCACATTTTTCACTTGTCTTTTGTGTCTCTCATACAGATGTGAGGACAGAAGGAGGAGACAGAGCCTGTTGTATTCATTAGATCAGAAGTCTGTGATTGTTCTAACTCATTTGTAGCTGCAGTACCCCATCTCATACAGGTGTCTGCAGAAGCAGTGGACACGTATGTGTAAACTAATTGAGGAATCAAAGAAATGATTCAGCTACCACACTTGAATTGTTTACAGTGCTGGCACTGCGGGATTTTTATGCTCTGTGGTATAACTTACTTTTTTGAACAAGTGACTTGATATTCACTGTCAGGTTCTTTGTGTCATATCAAGGACAAAAACTCTTTTGGTGATTGGATTTCCTTTTTGTGCTTGGAAGGCTGCTGAACTTTGGTAATGAAGCTCCTTGTGGGTGGCACAGGTTCAGTACAGACAGGGCCAGCTCTCGTGTGATCTTGAATAAACCCACCTCCAGTCATGCTAAAGTGCTTCAGATACAGAATATGGAAAACCTATTCAGTAATGAAAAGTTGCATCTTGCTGAGTAGTCACTGCTGGCATTTGAGGAACCAGTTCATGTGTCTGATGGGGAAATCACCTGCATATTTCAGTTATCGTGTAGCAGCTATTCTTGTTTGCCACTGTACTCTGTTGTAGTTAAACTCCTAGAAATGTCTAGGATATTAGGCCAGGCACTAGTTTTAGTAAAGGCTGGGATCACCTATTAGTAAATTATCACAAGACCGTGTATAGCAACACACGCGTTAAAGGCTGGTTTATCAGCTTTGCTATGTTGTGCTTGCTTCCCAGTATCTTTTGGGTCTCTTTCTGAGAGCTGGAAGTAATTAGGAAACTGCACTGGCTCTAATTCATTCCTTCATGCTGGTGGATATCTCTAAGAGGATAAAATTAGATCGGCAGGAGAAACTCCTTGCATTCCTTGCTGAGCCCCAGAGAAAAGCTGAGGGATGGAAGCCTCAACAAATGTGGATATTGGCTCCACTGTATTTGAAATTCATATTTAAAGCCATTGCACATTCTTTACTGTTCTTTTTATAAATCTTTTGGCAGGAAGCCTAAGCAAGTGGCCCAGCTGGAGTTGCTGATTGTCGCTCCCAGAAGCCATATTCGCTGAGATCCAGAGCCTGCTGCTCGCCTTGAATTGCTCAGTTGAAACAACTCCCCCCCACTTCGCTCCTTGTGAAGTCCTCACTTGCGTTCTAGCAGCCGCTACCAACAGTGCTCCTGTGGAATGTGAATCCTGGACGAGCCTGACATTCAAACACGAGTAAGCCCTACAGTGCTGTGATGGGATTCTCTGTGACACAACTGAGGGGACAACCTCTGAAAGAAAAGTTGAAGAACAGAGCCTGTTTGATATTTGTACAATCTAGTGCACTTCTGCAAAGACTTCGCTATAGATAGATCTTCTATAGTGAAGAAAATGCTATATGGTATGCTGAGACTAAAAAAAAAAAAAAACAAACTAAAAAAAAACCCCAAAAAACCCCACCAAACAAAAAAACCCCAACCAAACCCCAGAAAAACCTTGGCTAGTGTAGATGTACCTAGTTCTGTGCCAGGTAGGTCTTATTCTATGTGTATGCCCAATCTGGTTCACCTCCTGCCCTCCTACAACACATCAACACCCAAATGAAGATTGCAATTTCTCATTGTCATTAGGTGCACGCGTTCAGGCCTTGTTTTCCTTTGGGCTTTTCCCATGTCCTGAGCCAAAAGGAGATGTCTGTGCTGGCCAAGTTTTTACATGCTTCAGTGTAGCACTAGACCATGTTCTTTCTCTCTTTACAGAAATCCAGTTCCCAGCTCGGTTTACCCACAGATGCTAGCAGCACAACTGAAAGCTTTCTCACGTATGATCTACAGACAGTTCATTTATTAGCGTTTGGAAGCCTTTTATGCATTTCAAGAAGGTGGGGTTGTCCTAGGAGCAGCAGACCACAGAGTTGTTCTCCTGGCTCTTAGCAAAAGCGAGGTGAGAGGCACAGGAAGATTTGGGGAGGAGGGGTCTTTTTCTGTCACTAGCACAAGCCCAAGCCCATTGAGTACAAAGAAAAGACACACTTTAATATCTCTAAACTGCAACAATACAAGGAAATTCGCACTTTTAATTCCAAATGATGGCCAGGGTCGTAACTTTCAAAGAGGCCATGTATCTTATCTTCTTAAACTGGCCTTGCAAATTCCTTCTCTGTCTAATCTAAAGACTTCTCGAATGATTCTTCTTGTCACCTGTCTCTAACAGCTGCAAGTGCCTGTTTCAGATATTTCAGAGGTACAAAAGTTGTTCTTTCTTTTGAGGACAGCTGTCTAACAGATCAAAACAGAAAGAAAATTACCAAAAGTAGAGACACTGAAAATTGAGTCATTGTAGCGGAACATTCTTCCATCTAATTTTTTGGTTCTTGGGTTAACTCCTGGCTCTTGCTTTGTATCCGACATCCTATTGGTTAGGCCATAGCATCTCAGCTGCAGCAAGTGCAACTTCCCAATTTTTTTTTGTGCTCAAACACAGAGCTCCTGGGTTCACTTGTTCACTGTCAGCAGAGCCTGTAAGCATTTGTTGTTTGAAGAGAATGTGTATCACGATCAGCTGTCTTTCTCTTGCATGTACCATAATTAGCTTTTAATTCTTTTGACGAAACAATAAATGTGGCCCCATGAATTAACTGGTATCGTATGTGAAGCTGCTTCTCCCTACTCAGTGTGCCTCCATTACTTATCTCTTCTAACTAGGAGCCTGCAGTCTCCAGTAAAGCCCGACTCTGGATTCCTGGTTGAAAGCAAACGTTGTTGCTTTCCTGGAGGAGGATTTGTTCCCTTCTGTAGCAGCTTATTTCCTGCCTTCGTAGGTAAGTGCTGCTGTAACAAGTGTCTGGTCTTTTCACCTTTGAATGTATTGAAAGTCCCACCTCAAGACCAACTTTTATGGCTAGTGGAAAGTAATGGTCTGTGGTGTTGCATAAGGATTTCACTAACTTAGCGAGCTAAATATATTTCCAACTTCAATTCTTGATGGAGTTCTCTTTCCACTGAAGTTCTGGTTTGGAAATGTCCATAATGGCCATGATTAGATTTCCTCAAGTCTGGTTAGATTAAGAGTTTGTGTATCTTAAAAAGACTACTTTTTACTACTGTATTTGACTTTCTGCACAACAGCTTCTCTTTGTTTCATTGGGGGGTTCCCCCCCTCAATGAGTAGGTGGAGTTGGTATTGGCTGTCAGGGAGAAATTAT